GATGTTCTATAAAGTATTTGTCATTATTCATGAAATATTCTTGTAGAAAATATTTTAAAAGAATCTATTTAAGCCCTGGCCAGTTTGGCTCAGCGGCTGGAACGTCAGCCTGCGGTCCAGAGAGACTCGAGTTCGGTTCCCGCTAAGGGCACGGTTGCAGTTTGTCCCCGGCCCTGGTTGGTCATGCGGGTGGCAGCCACTCAATGTGTCCCTTTCACGTCGAGGTTTCTCTCTCTCTCTCCCCCCCTCTCTCCCTCCCACTCTATCTGAACAAAAAATGTCCTCGGGTGAGGATGAAAAAAAAAAAATGTTTAAACCTCTGGACCTAATTTGGGGTTCAGAGGAACAAAGGATGCACACAATACTTAAATATTCCTAGATGGAAAGCAAAAGCTAAAAGAACACTGTGGGGACAATAAGAAAATTTGAGTATGAACTGGATATTAGATGATACAAGAAAATCATTGTATATTTGCCTAGCTGTGATAATGGTACTGTGTAAATATGCATTTCAAATAGGTCAGCAAGAAAAAGTAAAGAGGCTTTATAAACATTCAGCTATAAGATGAATAAGGTCTAAGGCTCTAATCTAAAACATGGCAACTACTGTTGACAACACTATTGTATTGCTGATAACACTACTGTATAATTGAAGTTTGCTCAGTAGAACTTCTCACCAAAAAAGATTAAAAACAAAAACACTGTAATGTAATGAATGTAGTAATGTTTACACAACTGTATATTTGTCAAAATTATCAAACTACACTTTTAAAATAGGTGAATTTTATTTTAAGCCAACTCTAACTGGTATAAAAGTGACCATTATAGTATTTTTTTTCAACTTTTCCATAAATTTGAATTTTATAATTTGAAAAAAACAAGTACAAATTATTTTAATAGGAGGTATAATTATGTCATGTTTTCATAAGTTAACAAATAAATTTCTTGACCAAAATGATATTTGACACTTTTAAATAAGGAGACCAGTGGAATTTACTGTTAAGTAAAATTTTCAGGTGAATAGAAGGTTTCAAGAAAACCTGAGGTAGAAGTGGGAACTGCAAAGAGAAGAATTTCTATGGAGAAAGGGCAGGTATCAGCATGGGAGAAAATTAAGATGACAATATTGCAAAGCTAGAGAATGGAAGACTCTCCCATCTGTTTAATCTCTAATTAGCAAGTAAATTATATTAACCTTCCCAACCTTAACTCTTTTCTCACAGTTTAATCTTAAATTCCATATTGTACTTTAGACAGAAGTCATGAACAATGTAAGCAATCTCTGTCACTAGTTCTCAGGGTCAAATATAACCCATGCTGTTCCCAAGACTAAGGCAAGTCTACGCAAATAACTAGATTCGTCATTTTCCTGTGAATTTGTGATGGTCAATTGTGGAACCACCAATGGGATTTCTAAGCATGCTGATTTCAGTTATTTTAACAATGGAGTTGATTGACTACAGAATCCTATTAGTTGTTAGGTAAACAGCATTTATTACCACGAAGAAAAATGAGTCAATTGAAAACAGGTCAATTCAACCAGGCCATGTAAACACTGTTATCCACTTTTCAGGAATTACACCCTTGTCATCAGACAAGAAAATACAGATATACAGAGGAGTTCCCTTATAACTGTCCTAAGCCATTGTGTCTAGAGGTGGATTGCAGCTTCAGGCTCAGAACCTCATTTCAGAGCTACTTTTACTTTAAAAACTGATTCAGAGTGGGTATGGAGATAGTAAAAAGTGTAATTATGCTTTCTAAATCTAGTCCAGCAGTATATCTATGAGAAAATAGAAACACAGTCCAAGAATTTTTACCTACATTTTTTCTACCCATTAAGAGTGAGCCATAAAATCTTCCTTACTAGCTAGACCAGTTCGATATCATCTCTGAGTCTATTTCTTCACTTGAAAAATAGAAATAACGTAACCGCACAATAGGGCTGTCTTCAACCTGCTCTGCCTACCTTAAAGAGCTGTGATAAAGTAAAATGAGTACCATGAAGACTGTTTCCAAATAAAACAAATGACTTTAACAATACTTGTTTGAACTACATTTTAATTTGGTTTATGATTATCCATAGTCCACTGTACAACATGTAAGACAAAAATTCATAAAATTCATATTTACTCCCTAGCTACCTAACAAACAGGTTAGATTAAAATTATCTATGTAGGACTCTTGCCAAAAATATTTAACCTAGCCCTGGCCGGTGTGGCTCAGTTGGTTGAGTGTCGTCCCATGGACTGAGAGATCGCTGGTTGGATACCTGGTCAGGGCACATGCCAGGGTTGTTGGATTGATCCTCAGGTGGGGTGTGCAAGAGGCAGCCAAATGATGTTTCTTTCTCATCGATGTTTTTCTCTCTCTCTCTCTCTCTCAAATCAATAAAACATATTTTAAAAAAATTTAACCTAAATCTAGTAAATAATTAGTCAAATACAAACTAGGGAATTGGCTTGAACTTTTCAAAAATGTCAATGTAATGAAAGACCAAAGAGGGAAAAAAAAAAGGCAGCAAGGGCACAATGTAGATGCAAAGGAAATAAACAAAAGACATGGTGACCAGATGCAATTTATGATCCTTGATGGGGTCTAGGATAAAACAATAAAAATTAGAAACAATATTTTGGGGACAAGTAGGGCAATTTACTCTGAATATTAGATAATATTATTTTGTCAACAATAAGTTTCTTTCTTTTTTTTTTTTTTTATCCTCACCTGAGGACATTTTTCTATTTTTTTGTTCAGGTAGAGTGGGAGGGAGAGAGAGGAACAGAGAGAGAGAGAGAAACATCGATATGAAAGGAACACATCGAGTGGCTGCCACCCACACGACCAACCAGGGCCGGGGACAAACTGCAACCAAGGTACGTGCCCTTAGCGGGAACCGAACCCAGGTCTCTCTGGACCGCAGGCCGACGCTCTAACCGCTGAGCCAAACCGGCCAGGGCAACAATAAGTTTCTTAAGTGTGCTAATAATATTATGATTAGTAAGGAAATATGCTTACTTTTAGGAGAAACACATTAAAAAAACATTCTAGGGAAAAAATGTTATGCTTTTTGCAACTTATACTGAAATGGTTCAGAAAAAAATTTAAACTATTAGAGAGAAAGCAAATGTAGCAAAATGTTAACAGATAAAGAATCTAAGTGAAGGGTATACACAGTGTACCCTTATTTTACTCTTTCAACTTTTCTGTATACTTGAAATTTTCAGCCTGGCTGGTGTGGCTCAGTGGTTGAGCATCAACCTGTGTACCAAGAGGTCACTGGTTTGATTCCCAGTCAGGGCACATGCCCAGGTTGTGGGCTCGATCCTGGCGAGGGGCATGCAGGAGGCAGTCAATCATGTTTCTCTCCCTCTCATGGATGTTTCTATTTCTCTCTCCCTCTCCCTTCCTCTCTCTCTAAAAAAATAAAAAATAAAATAAAATAAAATTTTCAAAAGACTAATAAAGTGAATGCTGCTTAAACAAAACAAAATAAAAAGTTGGCAAATAATAAAAAATATCACTTTTCCAATAATAAGATTGTACTTTCATAAACCTGATTTTCTAAACCAAAATAAATTCACCATGTTATCATATTGAGGTATATTATTTAAGAGCAATATCAATCTTTCTAATACACAAAACAGATAAATTAAGTGAATTTAACTATATAACAAAAGGTCTCACTAAAGGATTTCCTTTAAGTAAAAAATACAATTTTTGCCCTGGCTGGTTTGGCTCAGCAGTTAGAGCATCGGCTCGCAGACCAGAGAGTCACAGGTTCGGTTCCCGCTAAGGGAACGTACTTCAGTTGCAGTTTGTCCCCAGCACTGGTTGGGGTCCTGTGGGTGGCAACCACTCGAAGTGTCCCTTTCACATTGATGTTTCTCTCTTTCTCTCTCTCTTCCTCCCTCTCTATCTGAAGATAAGTGCAAAAATGTCCTCAGGTGAGGATTTATTTTAAAAAAAAATGCAATTTTTAAAAGCAGGACAGAAACAGACTCAGTTCCTTATAGATTAGCAAACTAATCTTTACATGTTTTTTTAAGACATACCACTTTACATTTTTAAAAAATATATATTTAAAGACAAGTAGAACAAGCAGAATTAATAGATGGAATGGCTCACAATTTATCATATACGTCAATTCAACAACTCCAAAGGCAAGGAAATTACAACTAGAAACAATTAAATGTAGTCTTTACGAAGAAAAACTGATATTCTGCTCTAGAAATGCCATTCAAGTATTCTATAGTAGGAATGTTAAAGGGGGAGGGGCATGCAGAACCTCCAATAAACACTAAACTGCGGTGATAGATGAAGATAAATTTAAGATCCTGGGATAAAAGAAAGTAAATCTGGCTTACTGTGAAAAGTTTTCCTATAAATTTATGAGTGAAAATTTCATTAACTAAAGTTTAATCATCTGCTTTGTATCCAACCTCTGTGTGTGTGTGTGTGTGTGTTTATTTGATAGATTCTCTAGGTGGTGTAGTAAGATTTTTCAATGCAGTGTAAGCACTCAAGTATTCTAAAATCAACTGTCAGGCTTCCCTATTCTGACAGACGGTTAGACAATTGCCCATCAATCCCATAGGAAATCAGAAAGTATCCTCAGAAACGTCTTTTTATGGATTCATTTAAATATTAACTAGAAAGAATATCACTGTAACATGAGCTAACAATTTATGTTTATATAATCTCTTAATTAAATTCATGGAAAATTTAAGTATCCTGTTAATGTGAAGTTATATTCTCTGCTTTAAAACCTATTTACTGGTATAGATTTCCAATTACTACGTTTTCTTAGGAAATGTAGAGCATTTCCTTTACTGAATTAGCTCTATAATGGAAAGAAAAAAAAGATTAATTCTCTTTATGAACCAACCTATTTTTAGCAGTACTTCCTATTTCTTTATAAGATGGCAACAATGTAAATTATATAAAAATAGACAAATTTCATTAAATGTTATATTTTTATTTCAAAACAGCATTTTATTTACCTTGTTAATGGAAACTACCAAAGCTGGTTCCACTTTAGCTTCAATTTCTTCTGGAGTGTAAAAACAATAGAGTTTACCTCCTCTCAAAACACAATACAACCTTCTCCAACTAATCAGACTGTCTAACATTTGCTTAAAAAAAAAAAAAAAAACCAAGAAACAATCAACATTAAACCATCATTTATTATCTTAACTCTAAATTCAACAAATAAAATTATCAAAGTTAAATTAGCTTTTTGAAAATTTTTAATGTGATAGTTACCCATTAATTTACTATATAATGAGTCAATAGCCCAAAACCAAAGAGTAAGTTAATATTAGAGAATAAAGGTCTGGAATTCTCATAAGCATTAAATAGGCAAAATAGAGGTAATGATTACCACATAACATTTACACACCTAAAATCAAAAATTGATGCAGTTTCTAAAAAGCTAGTCTATTAAAAATAAGTACTCAGAATTCCACAGCAATTCATTGACTCAGGAAAATTATAGAAATAACTCAGTATTCAAAATATAATTTTCCCTTACTGTTCTTAGAACACTGAAAAATGTTGACTACCCTGTAAGAATGCAAATTTCCTTTCCTCTTAATGGAATCTTTTAGAAAATGGTATTGATTCATTGGAGCCCATAGTTAATTATTTACTGAATATAAATAACTATGGCTATAAATAAATCAGGAGTAGGTGGCACAGAGGCAGCTTTGGAAGCTCAGAGGCCTGCACTGGGCCAAAAGCTGTCTGCCAGAAAGGCCTTGAGCAGGAAGATGCTGAGCAGTCTTCATCAGTTTCCACAAGGAGGCCTCTGTTGCCGATTACCCTGTTACTGCAACTTATGCAACAGACGAACCTGGAGAGGTAGCTCCTAAGACACCCAAATTGCATTAGACCCCTCTCCTTTCTCCCTTCTCACCCCAAGTCTCCCTCCCAATCCCCCAGTCTATATCTAACACTGAGAACACTGTTGTTTTTAAAAGAAGACTCTAAAAAACACTACTTAATATCAGGATTAAGATCAAAATTGGAGCTATAATTATTGTAGGATATTTAAAGTGCTCTAACCTGCTGATTAAGAAATCCTGCAAATGCATCCTCAGCCATACAAGCTGGCTGGGCGACTAATCGGCAGCACATGTTGCCAAATAAGGGAAGCCAAAATGAAGACTCCTCTATTTAAACGAGAGAGAGAAAAATCAAGTTACAAATATATGTTTAAGGTCATTACACATTCTTTTCTTTTTACAATTTTTTTTTTTTTGCTTTACATAGGAACATATGTAAAGGTTCATCCTACTCAAATACAGTACCATATTTAATGACAAAATCAAATAGGAGATGATATCAAGTTGAACATATGCCATCACCTGGAATAGACATCGAATTTTTAGTCTCCTGACCTCTTGTTTGATCTTAAAGTAATTAATCAGTGGAGGTAGTTCAGGGCATGTAAGTAAACTCATTTAATATAAAAAATTCTAATAAAGTGATTTTTGTATGTCAAATTCTACTTTTGCTCTTTCATTATAATTAGCAAAGTGATCCTCTGAATAAAACATGTTAGAGCACAACTTTAAGATAATAATTTAAAAATCCTTTTGCCTTTCCTCTCCTTCTTCCCCTACCCTATCTGAACAAATCAGTTGTAAGCCATTAGGTGAAGTTCACCAAGCTGGGCATCTGTGCTGGGGCTGGGGCTGATGCTGTGGTATGCCACAGCTGGGTGCTAGAGGACAGGGAGGGTGGGTAAGCAAGCTGCTTGGCACAAGGTATCAGAGTCTGAATGGGATGAGGAAAACAGATCACATGAAACATAGCCTAGAGCCAAAGGAGATCTCTGCCCAGGGCACTGCCTGGCGAAGGGGTTAGGCCCAAGCTGAGTGAGAAGGGTGTCTATGTGGGGTGGCTGCCTCATGTGAGGTATCAGAACGCAAGCAGAGTAAGACCAGTGTGCACATCTGGGACATGGCCCAGCCATGGGAGTCTGAGAGCAGCACTGAAGCCATCCACACATTCAATGACCAGAACAGTGTGTCAAGGCCACCAGGAAGGGCACCCAAGCAGAGGGACAGCTGGGCATGTGTCAGAGCACAGGCAGGCTGAGGAGGGTGTCCACATGGGATGAGGGTGAGGGCAACCAGGCACAGGGAGTTAAACCTGTGCATGAAGAGGAGTGTCTGCATGGGCAAGGGGCTGCCCAGAATGAGGAGACAGAGCCCCAGCAAGAAGAAGAAATAATCCATATAGAGAAGATGAGAAAATGGCTGCTTTCAGGGAGACTGATTACAGAAGAAAAAACATTAAAGATGAGAGAAAATACGTTTTTCATTTCTCAGAAAAAGCACTTACAAATATATGAAATGAACTCTGTAGTGTTGGATTAGAACTGGATGTACTGGTGTGAAATGGTTTTCAACATATAGGGATTAAGAAACACATGATAAAATATATATGCAGGTATGTAGCTCTGTCTACTGAGGAGGGCTAGGAAAAGCAACACTCTAATAGTGATACTCTAATAGCAATGAATATACCTAGAGCACAGATTATGTCATCTAAATAATATTTCCATTAAAAAGAACCAGCATTCCTTGGAGAAATGGCTGATTCCAGGGCTGGGGCAGGGAAAGTACATGATGAGCCTGAAATATCTTGTTATGCCATAAAGCAAGGAAGTTCTTAATAATGATGAAGACCTGTCAAAAACACAAAGAAGCCATCTTGAATGTGCTCCTATTGGTCAAATTGGAGACAATTTGAACCTCAAAACAGTGATATTAACAGATTATGATGCACTGAACAAACCTGAGTCTATATTGCTATAAACGCATCAATAAATAAATTGAAAATCCAATAGGAAATACCATATATCGTTTCAATGTACTACCCCTCTCACACACAAAATATGTACTTATTACAAAAGGGAAAACAAAAGAGTAACTTTATAGTAGAAAAGCTTAGTAGACACCACTTTAATCAAATGATTAAAGTGAACATCATCAGTAACAGGATGAGTCAAAATTATATGTCACCTAATGGATGCATTGAAGATAACCTCAGTTCTGTGATATTTCTGCCAAGGATGTATATCCAGAAACTTATCCCAAGAAAACATCAGACAAACCCAAACTGAAGGGCCTTCTATAAAATAACTGTCTATGATATGTAAAGTGTTATAAAAGCCAAGGAAAGACTAAAGAACTGGTCCAGACTGAGAGAAAGTAAGGAAGCACGATAATTAAAGGTAATTTGTGGTTCTGTATTGGATTCTTGTGTCATAAGGAACATTACTGGGACAATGAGCAACACCTGAATGGAGTCTGAGAATTAAACAGTATTGCAATGTATTATTAACTTCCTGACTTGGATGGTTGCAGTGATGTAGCTGGATGTCCTCTTAGTAGAAAATACATATTAACATATTTGGGGGTAATGAAACACCATGTAAGCATCTTGCTCTCATATATATATATATATGAGGGGGCGGGGAAGATCTTGACATTCAGCTTGTAACTTTTCCATAAGTTTGCAAAGGTTTAAAAAAGTTCTTTCAAAAAACACTAAGATACTACAGTATGTGTGCAGGTGGGTATATAGCCTTCAAATCTATATGAAAGGAGAACGTTGCATAATTTATTCTGTTTATCAGGGTACAAATAAAAATCTAGCATATGGCGATTTGACCACATAAAATTGATTTTTAAGCTTTTACTGATCCCTGTTGGTAGTACCTATAAAATGGCTAGCCACTGACTTATATTATTATTGCCCAAAATGTCTTATAACTCCGGAAAATAAAACATTTTTGGTAAAAATACAATTATTTAATATATAGATGCAATGTAGCCAAAGTTTTGTACATCTGTTAAATGAAATAGACAATCCTATAATGATGAGTACAAAATAAAACAAAAAAGTGTTTATGAACTTACATGCTCAACATTCTATTATAAAATAGAACACAACAAACTGTCTGGAACTATTCAAATCTTTTTTATTAATACCTCATTAAAGATGCTATCTTTCAGGAAAAAGGGGTTTGACCTAGGAGAAATAAATGCATAAATACAAGAAATGATTCCAAAATGCAGACATAAAAAAATAAATGAATGAGAATCTTCTTTCCTAAAATAGGCAGAAAATAAAATTAAAATTCTGTAGAAGTATGTCTGGGTAACACATCTGAAATCAACTTTGTGATTTATGAATTTAAAGTTTGAAAACAAATTTCTTCATATAGTAATCGAAGATTTGTTAATAACTAAAGTTCTAAATATCTGTAAGCTAGTTGTTTTAAGTTAGGACGCACTTCCTAAAAAAAAAAAAAAAAAAAATAGAATCATAAATTATGATTAGTTTTTCAGGCCAGTTCATTAAGTTTGTTCAATCAGTAATGTACTAGACCTTAAATACCACATGTAACAATGTGTTTCTCTGGTAAAATAAGTTCAGATTTCATGGCACACCATGATTGCAGTCCCTAAAAGGGGATACTGGATGTAGAATTCCTTGCCACATAGCCTGCAATCAGCTGTTAACCTCTACTCCGGGTTTCTTTACAGCTGAAGAGCACTGTGGCATAAAATGTAGTTTATTAATACGTCGTTAAAGATGCTATCTTTCAAAAAAAGGGGGTTTGACCTGGGAGAAATAAATGCATAAATACAAGAAATGATCCCAAAATACAGACATAAAAAAATAAATGAATAAGAATCTTCTTTCCTAAAATAGGCAGAAAATAGGCAGAGGTATTAATGCAGTTTCTTTCTTCTTCAGACAAGAAATACGCCATCTCGACTAGTCATTTTATCTATCTAAGTACCAATTTCTCATTAAAAAAAATACTACCTATCTTAAGTAGGAGGGTTGTGAAAATCAAATAAGATAATGTGTATATGACATCTATCATGGCACATAAGAGATGCTTCTCATAACCTCATATCCAGGGTAGTCTCACTCTCCAAAGCATACCCTTTCCATTTCTCAATGCTGTCTCTCAGTCCTTATGCAGCACGTTTAATAAAAATACTTAATTTTTCTTTTCTAGCCAAGGGAGGTATTAGGACACAATAAAATTAAACAGGAAGTGAAAGCAGTTTGACTTTTCATTACTAAAAGATTTTATCTAATTCATCTGTAGTTTCAAATGGGGAACAAAATGGAGTTTAAAAACGACAGCAACAAGAAAAACAATACAGAGGCAAGAGAAAGAATCCAGATAACATCTCAGTTCTATGTAAGTCAATTTTCACAATGTGGTTTCACTGTTTTATAAAAAGTATAAAAATTTCTTGATGACAAATATAAACCTCTAGATAATCATTTTGGCTTTTCCCTTCAACTAGCAAGAATAAATTTGAGTTATAAATTTGAAAAATCTTGTATTTCCTTTTGATTTTATAGTTTTGGTAGATGTTAACATAACATTATTTATAAAAACCCCACTACATTAACATGCTTATATTAATAAAAAAGTTAAAAGATAGATTTTTTTCTGTATAAAGGTTTTCATTTTAATTATAAGATTTAATTATAAGTTTTTAATTTAAACACAGTTCTAGAACTATATCTATTACATAAAGCACTGGGCATATAGGTTATTATTTCTTAAATTATTTTCCAGTGGAATCCACAAGTTCCAAAGTCAACAGTTTGGGGTGCTACAGTTTTAAGTTCAGGTCTTCTCACAGTCTTTAATATGTTAATTTGTACTGTGTTTCTCTAAGAGTTATAACCACACAGTTCCCAAGCTTATTTGGCCATGAGCATTTTATTACAGGAGAATCTAGTAACATCTTATAGAACACTAAAGACAACTGGGAAATTACTGCTAAAGTGATGCTTCCTCTGTGAAATTTATTCCTTTCCACAACTTTTCAGATGATTTGGTTGAAAGAATGGGGCCTTTCAACATCAAGTCCATTATTCACACATCGACAGTATTTTGAGTCTTCGGTTGCTTTAACAGGAATCATGCCTGACCAGAAAGCACAGCAGAGAGAGCACCACTCGCCCTAGATTATTTAAAGTCTAGCTGAACCACTTGCTAGCTGTATCATCGAGTATATTATGGTCTCTAAACTGTACTTGACTCATTTGTAAACTATAAATGATAACAAAATGAGGAACTTGCAAAGGTCACAGAGCTAGCCAGTGGTAGAACTAGAATATGACTCCAAGGCTGCCAGCCACACTATTAACCACTTTATTGTAATGTTTCCTTATAACAACATTTCACAGTGACTAAGGATAAAAATTGCTTTAAAAGCGCTTGTTTGCTTAATTATTTATTTCTAGTGTATTGTGGTAAGAACACGTAACAGAGATCTACCCTTAGATATTTAATGTACAAATACAATATTGTTAACAGTAAGCACTATGTTGCGCAGATCTCTAGAACTTACTCATTTTGTTTTATTTTTATTTATTTATTTTTTTAATCCTCACCAGAGGACATTTTTCCTTTTTTTTTGTTCAGATAGAGAGGGGGAGAGAGAGAAACATCGACATGAAAGGGACACATTGAGTGGCTGCCACCCGCACGACCCAACCAAGGCCAGGGAAAAACTGCAACTGAGGTACATGCCCTTAGCAGGAACCGAACCCGGGTCTCTCCTGACCGCAGGCCGATGCTCTAACTGCTAAGCCAAACCAGCAAGGGCTAGAACTTACTCATTTTGTATAACTGAAACTTTATACCTTTAGAATAGCAACTCCCCATTCACCTCCCCCAGCCCCTAGTAACTGTCATGCTACTACCCTCTGCTTCTATGAGTTTGACTATTTTAGATACCACACTTAAGTGGAATCAAACAGTATCTGTTCTTCTGTGACTGGATATTTCAGTTAGCATAACGTCCTCAAGGTTCATTCATGTTGTCACATGCTGTAGAATTCCTTTCTTTTTGAAGGATGAATAATATATCATAGAAGTGTCTGGCACATAATAGGCACTCAACATATAGTAGTGATACTGATAATTCTGGAGAACTGACACAAATGGGATGACAACAAACTTCATTTGTCAAATTTTCTGATTAAATTGATAATTCTAATACTATTGCAGACTTCAGGTTTTGGGTGATGAAAGGCTAGACTGTTCAGACCAATATTCCTACTGAAAATGCTGAATTAACTATAGTTTAAAATTTTTTCCCAGAGTGCCCAGCTGGTGTTGCTCAGTGAATTGAGGATCGTACCATGGACTGAGGGGTTCCGGTTCAATTCCCTGTCAAGGCAAATGCCCAGGCCGCGGGCTCCATCCCCAGTTGGGGGTGTGCAGGAGGCAGCCAATTGATGTTTCTCTCTCACATTGATGATTTTCTCTCTTTCTTAAAAAAAAAAAAAAATTAAAAAATTATGAATCAAATAGCAAAAGCTCAAATATATAGAGCAAAACCAGACATAACTAAGAGAACTAGAAAAATCCACAATCATAACATTTTATTACACCTCTCACAATAATATAGAATATGTAAACTACAATAATTATTTCCATATATTGCTGTGTATTTATTTTACATAAACTATAATTACCAATATCATCCAGACAGAAAGGGTTAAGATTAATTTGGCCCTACCTTTACTTATATTCTATGCTACCAACAGAAGGGTTGGCTTCCTCGATTTCAAATTTAAAAATAAGACAGGTCTTTTATTGCCAACTAGAAGGTGGTAAAGTCATCAATTTCAAGTCAAAGACAAGGATTCAGAATTTATAAAATCTTTCTGTTCTCACTAAGCTAGCCTCACAAACAAATCTCTGGCAAATAGCATGGAGAAAGGCAAATAAACTGTTCATTTGGGGGGAAATGGGATGGACATATTTGAAAATCCCACAGAATCACTCATGCCTACATTATTTAAGACAGTATCCACTTCAGGGGAACATATTAAAATTACAAGTTATTATTGTCACCACATATATATCAACATAACATATGTAATAAGTAAAATACAGACTGTACTTACCATTTCCATTAATAGACAGATTATGGGTCTTGAAATTGTCCTCAGCATTTTCCAAGGTCAGTGTAGTATGAGCTAGCAAATTATACTTTGCACCACTAATAGTAAGGAAGGAGACATGTTTTAAGTACTCTAGTATATTTTCTATTGCATAAACATTTAGGTGTTCAATAACAAAAAAATAAACCTGATTTAAAAATGGGCAAAGGACTAGAATGGATATTTCTCTAAAAAGAGATACACAAATGGCCAATAAAAACAAGAAAAGATGTTTGAGATCATTAGTGATTAGGAAAATGCAAATCAAAATCACAATGAGATACCATTTCAAAGCCATCAGGATGGATATTACTAAAACAAAAACAACAAAGAAATAAAAAGTAACAAATTTTGGCCAGGATGTGGACAAACTGGAACCTTTGTACATTGCTGATGGTAATATAAAATGGTGTAACCACTACTGAAAACAGTATAATGGTCTCTCAAAATATTAGACAGAATTACCATATAAATGCGTAATTCTCCTTCTGGGTATATACCCAAAAGAACTGATAGTAAGGACTCAGGTATATGCAAACCCATGATAATAGCAGCATTATGCATAATAGCCAAATAGTGGAAGAAGCCCAAGTGTACATTCAAGGGTGAAAAGTTAAACAAAAAGTTTATACACACAATGGAAAATTAATCAGCCTTAAAAAGGAAAAAAATTCTGACACATGCTACCACATGGACTAACTGCAAAGACATTATGTCAAGTGAATTAAGACGGTTACAAAGGACAAATATTGTATGATTCCACTTATATGAGGTACCTAGAAAAGTCAAATTCATAGGGACAGAAGGTAGAATGGAGATTTCCAGGGGCTGAGTGAAGGGGAAAACAGGGTGTTATTGTTTAATTGTCGAGTTTCAGTTTAGGAAGATACAGTTCTGGAGGTGAGTGGTGGTAATGGTTGCACAACACTGTGTACTTAATGCCACTGAACTATATACTTAAAAAAAAAAAATTAAAATGGCAAATTTTATGTTATATATATTTTACCAAAAAAACCCACCCAAAACCATTTAGATGTTATGAATGACAATTTAAAGTTAATATAAATGATTAATCAATTTCTTTACCTCTTTATGCTATTTTAGCTTAAGAAAATCTGAAAATTATTCGGTTTAACTTTTAATGTTTAATGTTTCTTTTGAAGGATCTCCATTAATTTAAAAATATTAACTGAACACCTAATATGTGTCAAGTGTTGTTCAAGGTGATGGGTATTAATGGTAAACAAGACTCAGTATCATATTTTGATGCAGGGGAGATGGAAAAAGTAGAGGAATAAATCAAATATAGACATTTGAAAGCTAGAATGCAACTCTTTTTATGAAAGAAAACAAAAGGTATGAGACTACTAATACTGAGGACCTATGCTAGGTAGGAGAATCAGGAAAGGACTATCCAAAGAGCTAACATTTACAAATAAAAAGATGGAGACAAGCAAGTAATGCAGGAAAACATTCTAGGCAGAGAGAAGAGCGTGTGCAGAGAGACTGAAAGAACATGAGTGTGGCTGAGGCACAGTGAGCAAGTGGGAAACATGGTACAACACAGGGCTGGCAAATCGGGCAGGGTTAGATCACCTAAGACTTGGGAGAAGGGTGGATTTAATTCCCAGTGTAATGGGAAGTCACTGGAGAAGGTTCATGAAGGTTCATAAGAAGGGCAGAGAGGAAATCTGATTCATATTTATTTCCTGGAGGCAGAAATAAATCTTTCTTCTGGTTTACCAACTTTAAAGATTTAGAATTTTTTTTTATCCTCACCCAGGGACATTTTTGCATTTATCTTCAGATAGAGCAGAAGAGAGAGGGGGAGGAAGAGAGAGAGAGAGAAACATTGATGTGAGAGAGACACATCGACTGGTTGCCACCCACACAACCCCAATAGGGTCTGGGGACAAACGAGGTACGTGCCCTTAGCGGGAACTGAACCTGGGACTCTCTGGTCCACAGGCTGATGCTCTAATTGCTGAGCCACACTGGCCAGGGCAAAGATTTGGAATTTTTATGTATAGTATCGTGAAATAGGAAATTTAATTACTAACCCCATTTTTTCATTATGCTAGTTTTGTTAAAATAGCATTATTGCCAAAGCATCTAAAATTTTTGTTGATAAATTTCGGATCCTGACACTAGTGATAAAAAGTGAATTTTTGTTCAATAATTATATTTTCTATGCTAATAATCTTAATTTTATTTTGAGACTTTTCATGTTTTTTTAATTTTCCAAAATAGTACAAATCTTAACATTGAAAACATTAAGAAACATTTAAAAGAAAAGATAGGCGAATGGACAGACAGAAATATACAAGAACTTTAGAGAAAAAAAAAGAAGTCTGATGGGAATCTTTATAAATTGTGACAGGTTATAGTTCCATAAACCTTCTTTGTCTCTTACTACATCGTTAATAAACTCTCCATTACAAAGAAAAAGTATGTATACATGTAGTAAGTATGCGATGCATGCACTTCATTAGTAAATACTGCCATCCCCACAGAACGTTACTCACTTTGAGAACACCTCGTTTTTTGTTTTTTTCCAATTATATTATAAAATAGCTGACATACATCGCTGTATAAGGCCTCCAGCATGATGATTTAATTTATCTGGGTTTTAATATACAACCATCACAGACCAGAGATATCTCTCAATACCTAATGTTTTTCATCAGTGTTTATATAGAAAACTTTATTTCTGTCTCCAAAACCTTTTTTTTTTTTAAAACAAAACAATGCATGAGTCAAGTTTCAAGTTACAGTCTGAGTACAACTGGTATTATGTCAGACTCAAATGTACAATTTTGGAAGAGTTCACTAAATGTCAACAAATCTCCACTGTAGCTAGAGCTAAGGAGAACTAGTCTCACATTCAGTATGGCCATTCTCTGCTGTTATTCACTATCCTGAACAAGTATCTACAGTGCCTTTTTTAATTAGCTCTTATTTTCCCTAGTGTAGACAATGAGTAACCCCTCCTCAAAAGAGTTGAGGAAGTATTAAAACTGTAGAGAAAGAATCAAAGCAATGGAGAATAGCAATTACAATAAAAGCAAACATTACTACACACAGATTGCCTATTAACAATCATATTAGCTGTTTGGCGATGAGGGTGTAATATTTTAAGCATTACTTCAACATGATAATTTGTCATTGATATATAGGTTTTATGGAACTACATTATCATTTTTCCCACTTAAAATAATGGGAAATAGACTCCGTTAGCATTTTAGTGCAGAATGGTAATTTTAGAAAGAGGTTATTGACAATAAGTGGATAACTGCTGCAAGCGAGTGATGCTAGGTTGAGTGACAAGAGGTTCCTGTGGCTGCAGTATAGTAAAAGTGAGGGAAGGGGAGGGAGTGAGGCCAGGGAGGGAGTGGGAGGGAGAGGGGAGAGTGAGGGAAGGGGAGAAGGAGAGAGAAGGGGGGGCAGAGGGAGAGGGAGATGTCCAAAAGTGGGAGGCAGATACTGCACATCACAGTGCTGTGTAGGGCAGGATGAGAACAATGGATTTTATTCTGAGTGAAATGGGAAGGAAATGGTAGGTTTTAAGCTATGTGCAATGATCTGACTTGTATATTTGATCCCTCTGGCTGGCATATGGAGAACAGACCAGAGGCCAAGAGAGTGAAAATGAAGATGCCAACTAGAAAGCTATTGCAATTGACCAAGAGCTGATGCAGGCCGGGAAAAGGGTGGTAGCTGTTGGAATGGTGAGAAGTGGTAAGATTCTTGATATATTCTTAAGGTCAATCCAATGTACACATCAAATGAATGTAAAAGAACATAGTCAAGGACAACTCCAAGGCTTTTGGTCTGAGCAACTTGAAAAATGGAATAGTTATTAACTACAATGTTTATATTTGGAGAAATTGTGCAGAAAACAATTGATGTGGGGGAGGGCCTTATGTGTGCGGGAGCCTACTTTTGAGGAGTTGAGAAAATGGGATCTAGTGTACAAGTAGGTGGCCTTAGATGAGGCAAAGGCAATTCACAAAGAAAAGTAGCAAAGAAGACCCAAATGCTGGCAGATTCTGTAGATGGAGGATATACACGTTTCTCTTCTGATTGCTGCAAGTGTCAGTGATACAAGAAACAGTCATAAGCTTTGAATAAGGAGTGCAGAGAATAGGTGTTGGGGGTTTCAGAAGAGAGAGTAACATGATGCAAAATGTTTGTCCTAGACAGGTAGAGTGGAAGGCTACACTGGAAACTCACTTGAACTTAGTGATCACATGTCTAAAGTGTGACCAGTCAGTACAACTCTTTCTCCAGCTTCCTCATCTATTCCTCATGAGTACAGGGGCAGAGGAGGTAAAAGTAAAATTTAACCAAGGTTCGAGTTTTTTAGTGGCAATTAGGACAAAAGGAGGAAAATGCTAGGGAAGAATAAAATGGTAAGTTATGAAGTCTAAGCTCAGGTGGAGTCAGAGGCCTGAAGAGAGCAAGCTGGGAACATGGGAAGCGGCAGACAGAGTGGAATACCTCCTATCAAGATTTTAGAGGGTGTGCAGTTACTAGTAATGTCAAGACCGAGGGTACAATCCTGGAGTGGATGGTCGAAAAGAGCAAGAGGACAAGATCACTGGAGGCAAGAGGGTCATGAAGCTGAGAGGTCAAGATATTAGATGGATAGTCTATATGTATTTTAAGTCCACCAAAAAAAATAGTTGAAATGGTGGGAGGCAGGGAGAAAGAGAAAAAGAGAAGAAACTTTCTGATTTTATTTTTAGGAGTAACACTGTAATTTATTCTCACTGACCACTAAACACATTTCTTGAGTATTCTTCACTTCGGGAACAGCATCATTCCAATGCATAGTGGAATATGAAACACTACGAATAGTGCGCACAGGAAGCATCTCTGTGACGGGCTGCGCATCTGCACTGAGTGCACTGGAGACATGGCGTGTTCAGGAAGCAACCTCTGTGGCAGAACACGCTAAAATTGTGTGATGATTAAAATAAGTGTTGATATGTTCTTCCTAGGCCTTAAGAAATAGCTGTGACTAAGACATCTTTTCCTCAACTGCTTTAAGGTAAAC